TTTTCTAGCTGTCAATGACATGTTTACAAATGCTGTTTACAAATACCGCAACTATTTCGAATCACGTTTTGAAAGCAAATCCCAACCAAGTGAGATTAAAAACGTTTTTCTTACATAACGGATTTAATTAATCGCAAGTGCAATAATATAGTCTAATAGTGTAACCGTAAATGAAATTAAATAACTAGACATCGTCCAAATCGGAACCAGAAATTCTTTGAGTATAAAATGTTTCTTGAGTTTTGACAACCAGAAAGAAGAAGACCTTGAACCTTGAATCAGTGTTGTGTTCAGGGCTGTGACACTGAAATGATCGTCGCCAATAGCTTACAAAAAAGGTTTCCACTCATTGACGGCGCTTCAATGGCGATTGTGTAAAGTGTAAAGTAAAAAATCACAACTGCAGTGGGTGATTGTAACAGAGGTTTTACAGAGGAAGTGCTAAACTCGCTTTTCCAATGTGTCACTTTCTGTTTCTACTCACCGTGTGATGCAATCGCTGGACCATACAGCCAATAGGCCCATAGCTCATATCTTGGGTACGTAAGCCTACATATTTATTCATAACAACCTTTTTGACGACGATCCTTGATACCGGTACTTTTCCATAGAATACATGGCCTACCTACTTAAAAAATAAAATTACAAATGACCAAAACCCCAACATTGTGTGATTTTCGTCACATTTCCTTCTAATGTTAATAGATATACTAATCATTGTTTAGAAAATGCGTAATCTATTAAATAACAAAAAGTTGTTTAGGTAAGGTTGCTTTTTTTTCAAACTGACACCGATAAGTTTACGCTATAACTTTTTACGAGAAAATCCAAAAGCAAGAGATCAATAACCTCGAAGCTAGATATTAATGTATTTAATTGGTCCGATTTACTGTAATTCTTAGGTAGGTTCTTACGTAGGTACTGGTTCTTTTCCTTAGAACCGGTAGTTTACAAATTTGATATCGTTGGTGTTGCACCTTATTTATTAGAGCCGTCCGTATTCAATTTAAGTGATGTCTTAACTCTGTATAAGTTTTGCTTTTTCTGCCTGGATTCCAAATCTTAGCTTACCCGGTATGCTATGAAAATGACAACCTATTTGAGTAAAACATTTGTTGGGCAAACCATCATGAATTGTTTACGCCTTTATATTGTTTATGTATCAATAGTTCGTGGCCTTTGTTGGATTGTTGTATTGTGTTGTTTTGTTGTATGTTGGTAACGCATTAATGTCCTTATTTCTCAGTGTTTCACGGAATGGACAAGAGCACCTTTGTTACTGAAAATGTCAACCGGAATAAAGTGTTAAATGGTGAGGTTGAGGTAGTACTTTAAATACGTTTAAGTTAACCGATGTGGAAAGTAACTTTCAATTATAGGCCTACTTTAGGGCTACGCTTCATGGATCTATAAAACATTTTTAAGTTTAATCATTGGACATATGGACCAACACGATCCGGGCGACATTTAATTGCGAAGCATTTATTTTGGCTTGAACTGTCAGATACTGTATTTGCGAAGGTTTATATATAATAGTTTTGCCAGCATATCTGCAAATATGCAAACTAATTGCTGCTCTTAATCTTAATATAAGAAGGTTTTGTGTTCAACTGACTACTATAAGATCCCCGTGCGTAGAACGGGCACACAGCTAGTTCCTACTAAAAGAACTGAACACAAACAAATTAACATTTACAACCTTAGCAGGAAAAGCAGCACAACAGCTGTACGCCAAATCTATATATTAATTTGAAACTGTTTTTCTTTGTGACAGCTAATTTGAGAGAACGGCTGGGCGTAGAAACTCGGTAGAGGTGTCTAAAGAAAGGGCTTGGTCTGTAGATGAGCCATCAAAAGAGAAACGTGGTAAATTCCCTTGGGGCTCTGCCCCAGTGGCCTTTAAATCCCCATCCCATGTTATTCTTATGGGGGGAAAACGAGTTTTTGTCACAGCTAAATTCAGACAACGGCTGGGCGTAGAAACTTGGTAGGGGTCTCTAAAGAAAGGTCTTCGTCTGTAGATGAGCCATCAAAAGAAGAACGAGCTAAATTTTCTTGGGGCTCTGCCCCAGAGGCCTTTAAAGTCCCCTCAGCAGATTTGTTTACATTATGACCATATGTATAATTTTACACTACTTTTTAATGAAACAGCTGTTAATACAGTATTTAAATTGTGATTTACTGAATTTGTCAAAATGAAGTGTTTGCAATGGTTTTTTCTGTTTTTAAAATCGATTTTCTTCTGCATCGTGTCATGTTTTGCAATATAATGTACTATTGCCAAATCAGTGGAAAATCCTAATATCACAGTAACTCTGAAAATTATTTCTTAATGGAGTCAACTTATGTCTATTGTCAGGGTTAGTTTCTGACTTTTTTACCACTTCTTGGAGATTGTACGTAGGTGATATTCTTTGGCGTATTTTACATCTGTAGACGATACTTGGGTTGGTGTAGTTATTACAATGGAAAAAAGTGAGAAATCCTGGACAATTTGATATAGGCCTACTAAAAATAAAACTGAATTAACAATGTGCTACATTTCTTGAGCATTCATTGAAAGAGCTGATTTGCAAACAATGGAAACATAAGAAAGTCATAGAACACAACCAAGTAGAAGAAATAGAAATAATGTGTTTTTTCTTCATTTATAATCGTTATTATAGAGAACCTTATGAGGCTATGAGTGGGAAACATTTGTAGAAAACTCTAAAAAAACAAGATCAGCTTTTGAAAGAAGATAAGATATTTACAAACAATTTAGATTATATCTAACTGTTGTGTACATCGTGAGTATTTCCATTATCATTGAGTCGACTTTTATAAAGTTTTCGGAAATTATGACCGTTATTCGTTTTAAAATAACGTCTGTAATGCTTCGCAATTGCTCGAATTCGAGCAACAGGTACACTAGTACAAATGAACATAGAAAATAGAAAGGCATCAAAATGAAGAAGACTGGTCAGTATGTTCGATAAGTTACAATTTTGTCCGCAAGATGAGCCACGGAGCTTGTTGAGTGTGAGACGAAAGTGAATTTATTTTATTAAAAGTTCGTTTTAGCTTGAAGGACCAGTCCCGTAGCACAAATTTAGTGTGATAAATAATTATTGATTTTTGTATTGATCCTGAAATAACAAAATACCTGAAGGTTACTATCCTGTCGTGGAAAATCGCGAAGGCGAACCCAAGTTTGAGAACACACAACGTCCACACATATGTTTTCTTTCTTGATGTCGCAACGTACGTATTGCACTTCAGTTTGTGACCAGACGCGGTAGACTGTTTGTGGACCGACCCGCACTTGGCACTGACTTTAATAGTATTTGTCGATCGTTAGGCTTTTTACAATGTTTGACATATAAAATAATAAAATAAAAACTGCGACAAAACTTGCTTCTAAAATTATACACAGTGATATCATGGGGTATACACTGATTATATGATTAATTAAAGAATAAGAGGATGTCGGTACGAAACCTTTTAGCTGGCCAAGATCCTGTTGTTGACTGCCATGTTTGAATAGACTGAGGGGTTTCCCGATGGTCAGCTGGCCGATAAGAGAAGAATGAAGCAATGAAGTCAAGGACTTTGCTTCTTTGAAATGAATGTTGGCAGGTTGGGTTTGAATATTGAAAAATAAACTAAATATTTCCTTTACATTTAAGAATGTTATTATGTTCGATGAAAAGTTCTACTGAAGTTCATTAGAAATGTGTATGTAACACTATTTACAAGTTTGTGACGACATGGAGGTAGGACGCCATTCGTGTTCAAGGATCTCACCACATGCACTCATGTCTTCGTACGTACCGACATCTCCGAGGGTACATTCGATCCTACTCAGGTCCTTACCTCGTCATTAAAAGATCTGACAAGACTGCAGTTATTCGGATTCGAGGCAATGACGTAACCATTTCAATGGATCGATTTAAGCCAGTCTATTCCTTACAACTCGACCACGATGATACCAGCGTTTCCAGAGACAACAACACTACTACTCCTCCCTTTTGTCATACTGACATTCAACAAGGCAACTCGACACCAAAACCTATTCTGAGATCTACACCATTAACTACGGCTCTGGGAGGCAAGTTCATTTTCCAGAACGGTTCCAGAGTTGATTTATTTGAATCTTCGTGTTTGCTTCGTCACAGCTCAACCACTGGCATGGGGTACTGTAGTGACTCCCTACTACTTACCTCTACAATAGTTTTATTTAACATGATTGTGTTATTAATTATTTACTTTTCATTCAATTAGTTATTAGTTCACTTGACTTACTTAAAAAATACACGCATTTTTATCACCTCTTGAATTTGTGAATTTACATCTTCAACTTTAAATATCGTGTGTTTATGCATATTATGCAATAACGTATTCATTATGCATTGATACAATTGCATTTGAGGTAAGAAAACCGAAAAAATACTACATGTTTTTACAAGTAGTTTTGGTCAAATTAGCTAGCTATAGTGTAAGTGTAGAGCTTAAAAACACAATGTTGCATTATAAAGTATTGTTGTACAAAACATAACACTGTTCTAGTTCGATTGTTTATGGATGCATTTTGATCAAATTTGGCAAATTTATTTATTTAATTCTATACCATTAACATTTGATGAAAAACATTTTTCCTCCCCCGTCGCAGCTAACCTAATTTCTCTTTAAACATGATGTAATTTAATGGAGAATAAACATGACATGTTCATGGTAACATTTCAGTTATATCCAATCAGTAAATGAGAAATTTGTTTAGTCCACTGGTTTGCTGTGGCGGGAGTGTAAGTGGCTTAAAAAAAAATTATAATGAAAAATGTTTGTGATAAATACATTTTTGGTGGTGTCAAATGTTAGCGGGACTCAACGTTTTACATCGAGTGGTTTGCGTTAAAGTGTAATTAATGTCATGACATACATAGAAACTGTATGAGTTATTACTGCAAATGGTGCAAGTCATGCGTTACTTAGTGAGACTATGATACTTATGGACAATTAATGACAATTTATCACTGACTAAGTTTGACAGCGAAAAAACATCTACATCTAGATCCAGTGCCCCACTTAGATAGGTTTGCCCACATTTATTTGCGATGGGCCGAATATTGACTGTGGCTCTTGGATCATTGTTGGTAAGTTTTTATTTATACTATATGTATCCCCTTTGCTTTACTTCTAATACTTTACCAGTTAATAGCTATTTACAAGTACATAATGATATCAATTATTATGGTGTTGTGTGTGAAACGATATTTAATATTTACTTAAATCCAGAAAGAACTTCTCACAAAATTACTTCCAGTTAGTAAATGGTTTGTTTTATTGCTTATATAGCTTTGATTTGTAATTGGGTATGATCAAGGCCCCACTAGAAAAACAGCCCACATATATTGCTTGATATTTACACCAATATTGACTTTTCGTTTTCTTGCGAAATTCCATGTACAGTATAAGAAAGCCATATAATATGCACTTAACCCGTTTTTTTATTCAAACAATGACAATTATTCGAAAAAGAACTACATTATAAACAAATAAATAAACAAAATACTAAACAAACCTCATGTCTAAAATTAAAAACACATTTTAATCTTATCGATTGTTTGCAATGAATTATGTTAAATTTAAGTGATCCGTTTTGATACCAACAGAATCTGCTTAATTTGAAAATTCAACCTACTTATTCCATTGTTCAATCAAATAGTCAGAATCGCGTTAATTTAATGTAACTATGGAAACACCATATGGGTATTCAATTTAAGTGAGACTTTTTCATTCTATTTCACCATACTCTGCACAGCAACCATTTTTATCTACACAAAAGGGTAATTTTCAAACGATATCTGTGCCAAATATGTTGCCGCCATAGTTTGGTTTTAAATTGTGAAATATCTAAAGTGGATGGGAACCTATAGTCACTTATCGATACGGCAATGTCAGTACATTGATATACATAGTAATATGATGTTCAGTGAGTAAGGTTTTATTAACTAATGCCCATTATACTGATGGGGATCAATGTTCTCTACATCGCTCTACGAAAGATAATGTTACGTTTTTTACTGAATCAAAGTACCGAGGTAAAATATCAAAATCATTTGAAATTACTCAAACTAAAATTATATATTTAATCTATGCTATAAGATTTAAAAAGTAAGAGAGCTGAGTATTTTAAATTGTTAGTGGTAGCACTGGCTGATAAAATAATTCGAAGTAGGTTTGCCCGTTAAGTTTTACTGGAAATGTGGACTTGAAGCGAAGTGGCTCCAGTAGAAAGTGTAAATAATCTTAAATTGTATTATAGGAATATCACAGAGAACTTTATGTATGTAGATGTTGTTCGAGTTTTATTTGGATTGTAAATTAAAGTATTAATTTTAAATCATTCAGTGTTGTTTTACCAAGTGCAGTAAATATGTAAAGTTTCAGACAAACCTGAAATATTGTTCTTGAAAAGTACATTTTCACAATAGTTTGTAAGGATCTTCAATCCACTTTTATTTATTATAAGTTTTTAAGAATGGAAATTATTAGTGGTGTTTGATGTTTTCAGACAGAGATCTGAAACATGAAACAACACTGAGATCTGATAGTGATTTCACTTATTTTATGCCAGAGTTCAGTTAAACCAAGTAATTTAAAGTAAGACCCGCCCATTATATTATTTTTTGTGAAGGGCTTATGATTAACAAAATTATTTTATCTGTACATGATTGATATGTATATTTATTGATTTTGGAAATATTAGGAAGAATATAGACTACTCCAAATCTTGCATTATTAATTTCTCACACTACTTCCACCCTAGCTTATTAAGATCAATTCCCTAAATTAAGTGTATTCCCTAGTTGGCGTGTAATAAAGGGGACAATTTTCAGGAAGCTGAGTTTTACGTTGCTCAACACCTGGGCAGCGTCAGCCTATCCCATTACGTCAGTATCTACTACATTCGTGATCACCGTTCTCTTTCCCAACATCGATTTCTTGGGGCAAAGCTGGCAGGGAGATAGGTTCTTGCGTTTACACTGTTAAACGTTTAATATATGGTCTTTTGTTTCAGATCCTACAGACCTCAGTTCTCGTCACTTCTGCAAAAGTTCAAGGCAACGGTATAACAGATTTTATAATTACTTTATTTTTAAGAAAAATATACTTGTAGGTGGAGAATAATATTTTAAGTTAATAAGACAATAAAGATATAAAAAATTGTTTTTGCTTGTTTTTTTATATAAACAATTGCTGTACTAACCACACGGGAAATAAATAGCCTCTGTTTTAGGCTATGCCTACTAGATCTAGTCTACAACTTGCTTGACGCGATACACATTTCCACAAACAATAAACCACGCTCACGTCGCCGGCCCAAGTGTAGGCTAACTACGCGTCTGCCGTGGGAATAAATATAATACCTACTTTGTATGGTTGCCATTTCATTAAAAAGTATTAAAGTAAAGTATTAAAGTATATAATTAATGTATACATTTTGTTCATGGGTTACAATTTTAAAATTCCACTTTAGGCACTTTTCTTTCAATGTTGGGATCATAAAAAACTATAAATATGTGTCCGAAAAGTAATTTAAAAAATTAAAAACAGTCTGAATCCAATACATTTTACAAATTTTAGATGTGGGTGTTTTTTGAAGGTGAAGGAATGAGATCAAATCTTTGCTAGTTCTTACCGTTTCGAGTTATAACCTTTTTAAAAAACGTATTTCTCTAAAAAAAAGGGCGATTAAAGGGATTTTGTGGGGGGGGGTTAATTTGAAAATGTAACTTTTTGGATTTTCTGGGTGGTTTGGGACTGAGACGGACCTCCACAACATGTTATAGATTCCTAGCTATTCTAGAAGTGGGTATAAATTTGTATACCTGTTCAGTGAGACAGTGAGCTTCACAAGCGGCTGGATCCCGTTGTATGTGTACGAGTGGTCTGATTCACCCTGCATAATATTGAATTATAATAAGTGTAATCAAATATTATAATAAATGATAAGTATAAATAATAATACCGATTATATGTCATACTAGGATTGCTTTCATAGCAGTGAAAGCCAGTTGAGCGGAGCAATCATGTTTCATGGTTTTTAATAAAGAAATAAATAAAAAAAGATTATAGGTATAAAATAAAATACAAATGTTCTCACACTCTGCACTGCTAGCCTTTACTACTAGGCCAGTCAATATATACACGAAAAAAGGCAAACATCACAAACGCGCATGTATCTACGATTTTTTGATATGTTGTTAGGTCCCCTAAGAGTAGATTATACCCAAGTTTGCAACCCTGAAACCCCTGTGCTACTCCCATGATACTTGAAAAAATGTAAATTTCTGGCTCATATTTTTGTTTTGTTGAAAAAACTAACTGAAGGGAGCGTTTATAAGGTATATGTGTACTATACTTTTTTAAAGGTAACTAAATTTACAACAATTGGAACCCAGTTTGAGCCCATTAAGTCCATTTCTTGCGGATATACAGTTAGTAAAAAATAGGACAATTTTTTCAAACATTGAAATATTATCGGTAGGCTTATTTGCCGTACAGGCTGAAGTAATGATCATAGAGTAAAGTCTTTAGGAAGGGTTTTGTAGAGAATTTAATAAGCTTTCATTTAATTCCAAAGTGGTGTGTCTAGGCCTTATAGGTTCAAAAAAAAATAAAAAAATATTTTTTGTGAAATTGACATTTTATAGATGTAACACATGGCTTTTAAAAAACAAACAATTACTAAGAAATATACTAAAAAATTAGCAATGTACACATAACGCTCAAGCACAAAAAGAGTTTAGAATTTCGCCCTTTTGGAAGGGCCAAGTCTCATACAGCCTAGCTAGATCAGCCCGGTGAGGGGGAGGAGGGTTGGACCCATTTTGTTTGGTTCATCAAACAAAATGTTTGGCATGAGAGAGAAGTAGAGCGTCACAGGTGTTCAGCTGATTTAGTGCTCTTCATAGCTGCATCTTGAGGGTATCCATTAAATACCACAGCAACGTTTTTACCGAAGTGGTTTAAAGTAAAACATAGCTGACATATCCCACCACAGTGGATCTGACTGAATCATTTCAATGCCAGATAACCTTGTGCAAGATGTAACCACCATCAATCACTATGAACGCTTCGTTTCCTGGGATGATGTTTTCAGTGAGCGGTGTAAATGCTGAATAGAAGGAAGATTTTGTGCCCTTGCACATTCCTTCTTCAATGAATAAGGGCAGTGGCTACGGTGCTAGCTCATACGCAAAATGCTGCTTCAATTGTTCATCTGATTGTTTTGTGACGCAGACCCTCTGGAATGGTAAGGAGATCAACATCAACTCTCTTGTTGAATACTTTTACATACGTGGTGCCTGAAGTCAAGGTCTTCACTCTGTCCTTTCTCGTTTAAAATTCACTTGACCAAAGTTGTTACCAACAATTTGTTTCACTCCTCCTGCTCCCAGTTCTTAAGATAAGTGGCAGTTGAAATAAGGGCCTACCACGTGGATGGAAAATAGGTGATTGCTGACTGGGAATGGAGGGTGGGTGTTGAACCAGATCTTTATTTTTTTGGCATCTGCAGTGTCTCTCGCAATTTGGGATGCCCTCATATCAACGTGCTGTTCTGATGTTAGAGTCATAGTTTCAGTGAAAAGTTCCACCTCATCGCAAATGTTGAGCATGGAAACCAACCCTACTGACCAGCGCACCAGCACACTGCTTCATATTCCCCGACCATGAGTTAGCCCACCCTGGCTTTTCGTGGAACTCATCAGTACGTGTTTCATGGTCGAATCTGTCCATAAACCAGACCAGAACTTATCAGAGCGACGTTTTGTGAAGGATCCCCCTGTGAACGTGCGATACTCGTCTGACTTCATGTGTTTTTTAGGCGAAGCATGTCTTGAAGGTAGAGTCCGAATCTTTTTAAGAAATACAACCCAAAATTAATACAACATTTACGCAAAATATGATATTTTTATATTTTAAATTTTTTTGTGAAACTTAAATGCCTAGACACACAACCTTGGAATTGAATTAAAGCTTATTAAATTCTCTACAAAACCCTTCCTAAAGACTTTTCTCTATGATTATTACTTCAGCCTGTACGCATCTTGGCAAATGAGCCTACCGATAATATTTCAATGTTTGAAAAAATTGTCCTATTTTTTACTAACTGTATATCCGCAAGAAATTGACTTAATGGGCTCAAACTGGGTTCAAATTGTTGCAAATTTGGTTAACTTAAAAAAAAGTATAGGACACATATACCTGATAAACGCTCCCTTCAGTTAGTTTTTTCAATAAAACAAAAAAATAGCCAGAATTTTGCCGTTTTTCAAGTATCATGGGAGTAGCACAGGGTTTTCAGGGTTGCAAACTTGGGTATAAACTACTCTTAGGGGACCTAACAACATATAAAAAAATCGTAGATACATGCGCGTTTGCGATGTTGAATGCTGTTATTGACTGGCCTATACTTCTTTCGCCACTTCCTACATCGTGAACCTGTTTCGCTCCCTACCCATAGTTTTTGAGTATTTCTGATACATTAATCTAACTGCCACAAAGGGTTCCCACACTCAGCACCTTTAGCCTTTACTACTTCCTTCACCACTTCCTACGCCGTGGACCTGTTTCCCTCCCTTCCTAGAGCATTTTAAGATTGCAGATACATTAATCTTACTGCCACAGACGGTTCCCACACACCACACTGCTGGCCTTTACTACTTCCTTCATCGCTTCCTAAGTAGTGGACCTATTCTCTTCTATCCCATAGTTTTTTTTAGTATTTTAGATACTTTAATTTAACTGCCCCAAAGTATTCCCACACTCCGCACTGTTAGCTTTTACTACTTCCTTCACCACTTCCTACGTCGTGGACCTGCTTATCTTCCTTCCTATAGTTTTTATTTTAGATACGTTAATTTAACTGCCCCAAAGTATTCCCACACTCCGCACTGTTAGCTTTTACTACTTCCTTCACCACTTCCTACGTCGTGGACCTCTTTCCCTCCCTTCCCATAGGATTTTAATGTTTAAGATACATTAATCTAACCGTCCCAAACCATTCCTATACTCTGCACTGCTAGCCTTTACTACTTCCTTATTCACCAAGGAGGTCTTACGTCGTGGACCTGTTTCCCTTCCTTCCCATCGCATTTTAGGATTGCAGATACATTAATCTAACCACCACCGACAGTTCCCACACTCCAGACTGTTAGCTAACATAACTACTTCCTTCATTACTTCCTACGTCTTGGACCTGTTTCCCTCCCTTCCCATAGCATTTTAATATTGGAGATACATTAATCTAAGTGCCACAGACGGTTCCCACATAACACACTGCTGGCCTTTTCTACTCCCTTCATCGCTTCCTACGTTGTGAACTTGTTTCCCCCCTTCCAATAGCATTTTAGTATTTTATATACAATGATCTAACTGCCACAAACGTTTCCCACACTCCGCACTTCTCGCTATTAGGCCTACTACTTCCTACGTCGTGGACCTGTTCAAGTTTGCCATTTATGAGATGGAAACATGAAGGTGATTCACCGAAGATTTGTTTAAGATAAAATGTTATTTGTTATATAACCTTATTTAGCTACGTAAATCAAATCTGTTAATGTACCTAAGAAAGTATGTTTTATCTATGACTGTACCTATTCGATCAGTGGTCGTTTCCAAATTGCGACTTAAATGTAAATCCAAGACTTTCTCTGCATTATTTGATCAGTCGTCATTATCCAAATTTTTTCCTTTTTACTGCGTTAAGGTCGTAGCTTGATTTAAACATGTAATATGATTCTTTGTTTTGTTTACATTTACCTTGTTATTTTGTAACCATCATGGCAACCCATAAGACCAATGTTAAAATTTAAAAACTTAGAGTTACTTTCAAACTATATAAGCATTATAAAAATTAAAATTGGTTACGTCCAAACCATCCAAACATTTGACAACGCAACCTTGGTAAGTTTTGCTAAAATGTATTTAGCCGTTATTGAGATTAAGTGTTATAATGATTGCATTGAAGTTTATCCCAAAGAACTTCGCTTCGCTCCGCTCAAAAATATGTTCAGCCGTTATTGAGATTAAGTGTTACAAAGATTGCATTGAAGATGATGCTAAAGAGCTTCGCTTCGCTCCGCTCAATTAATTGTTCTCAATCGTAGTGTTTTTGAGGTAAAGGACTAAAGGAGGATGGGTTTTAAACTTAAAATACGCGTATTATTGTAATGGATCAATACACGTTCAAACTTTGACATCAGTCAGTATAAAATACAAGATGTACCCAAATTTTGCACCGACCTTTAAGGTATCATTCGTCAACAAAAGAAAAACTAAAATATCACGTTAATACTCCCAAAACTCAAAAGTACAACCACCATTTATTTCCCGTTTTTCACAAAACCTTTTTAACGGTTTTTTAAAAAGAATTGAAGTTTGGTACAGAGATTATTAAAGCAAAGACCTATAAAACAAATTTTAAGTAATTTTAGTATTAAATTGGTGGATATTTCAAGTTATTTAACATGAAAAACATAAAATGTAGGTAAAAAAACTCATGTGGTATTGTGTTGTTTAAACAGTCCTGTTACAACTCTAACTATACCAAATAAGGGAGAAAATTCATTTTTGAGATACATTTTTGTCATTTGGTACGCAAGAATTACCATCTATATAAATAAAATTACAGTTTTGTCTGTAAATTGCGCAGAATCCCTGATTAATAACTTCGGGACTTGATTAACGAATTTAATTGGTCGTAAGTACTTTATACTCAATGGTACTATAATAGTTCATAACTGTAAACGTTGGTTTTTGGTACTGGTACTTTTCCTTAGAACCGGTGGTAGCAAGCAGCAAGAGTTATTTTTACCTACAAACACATCACTATTTACAACTTGGTTATCGTTGGTGTTGTGCCTTATTTCTTATTAAATTTAATTGATGTCTTAATGTATTAGTTTTGCGTTTTCTGTCTGGACTCCAAAATGTTAGTTTATGCTATGGAAATGACATTAAGTGAAAAATTTGCTTAGCAAACCATCGTTTTAAAGCTTTGCCTTGTTATAAAATGAAATGAAATGAAATTAATTGCTTTATTGTCGTACCTTAACGTTAACGTATCAATGTTTTGTGGTTTGTGAATTTATTTATTTATTTGCAAACGGATTTACACAAATCTTTCAGCTTAATTACACGTTGTGAATTGCTCATTATGACTAAATAGCCTATAGATAATAATAATGAGAGGAACATCAAAAGTAACATTAATAAGAATACAGTACATGCAAATACTTGGACGATGAAAGAACTAAGAGTAACGAGAAATAAATACATAGTTGAATTAATAATGAAAATATGTATACAATAAATGGATCATGAACCGACCTAGAAAACAATAAATAATAAAAATAACAATAACCATGATAAATAATTTTGTGAAAGCAATAAATAATATTAATGACAATAACAAAGATAAATATTTATAGTGATTAACTACCGGTATTGTTAATTATTACCAATCTATATCGTCTTTTGTATTTCGTTTCATAAATTATGCCGTAAAGATTAATATTATCCATAAAGATATCTATAAAGAATATTTCATAAAGATTAACCAAAGCAAATATAAGTTATCATTACAGACGGCATTATCACTACACGATAAGTAGGCCTAAATACGATTATCATAAAACTTTACGACACGATCAAAAAATTTCAAATACTAAATTTGTAGGCCTATGTACTTTGCTTTGGTTAAAGCGTAGCAAATTACCTAATTCAATTCTGTATTTTTGTGCGTATGTCTGTTGGTAACGCATTAATGTCCTTATTTCTCAGTGTTTCGTGGAAAAGACAAGAGCACTTTTGTTAAAGCAAATTTCAACCGGAGTTAAGTATGCTGTGGTGAGGTTGTGATAGTATTTTAACTACTTTTACCGGTGTAAAAAGGCCTACCTTAGGGCTATGCCTCATAAATCTATAAAGCAATTTTTTTTATCATTGGATATTGGGCTAATGGATATGGATATGGATATGGACTATGGACATATGGACTAACACGATCGGGTGATATTTAATCGTGATGCATTCGTTTTGGCTTGAAACTGTCAGATATTGTATTTGCGAAAGCTTATGTGTATTCCTATAATAGTTTTACCTGCATATCTGGAAAAATGCACACTAAATATGCAAACTAACTCCTGTTATGAATATAAGAAAGTTTCAGCTTAAGTTACTACAAGATCCTCGTACGTAGAACGGGCACACAACTAGTTATAACAATAAAAATTGTAAATTCAAAATCAATGCAGATGTTCAAATGACAAAAGACCGCATAATATTATGTTTCATACAGAGTATGTTAAAATGAGTTTTCCCCCTTAGTATGTATATATGTTCTTAAATTTGATACTTGGCCACCATTTTGGAACTTAACACATTGAAAAAAAATTTATTTCTCAAAATCGAGGTCTTTGCATTGTCAATGAACCAATTAGTTATCAATTGACTACACAAAGCCGTCAAACGATAAAAATAGTTTGTGAATAAAGCGAAATGGCGCCTCACGAGTTTTAGAAACCTTTTGCATGATATATTTTAATTTGACTTTGATCCAGGATTAATAACAAGGAAATACAACTACCTACTTTAATATTCAATTCGATACGAAGTGCACGTTGGTTTCGGTACCACTGTTAACTTGAAAGTGTTTAAAATAATAATTTAACTAGCTTGTACTAGAATTTCTTTGTTTTCTACTAAAACCTTGTCTACGTACCTAATTAATCAGTTTATTTGTGTACAACAAGCTAACTCTCTTAAGGTAATGTCTAGTTTATTCTTTACAACTAGTGAGATTCTTAATGATTCCTTATCCTTGGTAAGTTAGAGATTTATTTGTTAATACTGTATCCCTAATACAGCCACGTATTTTTCTTTCAGTTGTGAAAACGAATGATCACAGGGGTGCAAAGCAAATCTTCACGTCGTGGATCACACCAGAGGATAAAGCCTCATCAAAAGACTTGGAAATAGAACTAGTACCAGGGAAGAAGCTACGTGTTGAGTGCGTAGAGTACAAGAGCGATGACGCCAGGGCGTTCATATACAGCCATGAAGGAGTCCTGATAGACACGTTGAATCTGTCCTCGCAATTGGACGCGCCATGCTCACAGCTGGAAAACTACATTCATGTGACCGACAACGATTTCACAAAGAACTCAGACGCAAGAAGGTTTAACGGGGTCTTTACATTTGACCTGACGATGACGTATCTAATCGCTGGGGCGAAGCCGGGATGCGTTGAAAGTGAATACGATGTCACCAGCTACTATTTCATGGCACGCGTGGACAAAAAACGATACAAAAAGTTAAAGGAATGTCCAGAAAAGTTTGCGAGTGTAAGAATAATTATTGATAATACTAAAAATATGTAAAAATGTATGTTCATTTTGTGTTTATTATAATAATATTTACAAGTGGTGCCGACCATTTCGTTCGTGTTTCAAATAAAAGGATAACCCTAGATATTTGTTAAAAAGGTTTTACCAAAAAAATATTGATTGCATCAATTTTAATATTACAAAATACACAATGGCTTTGGCTTCTGTGCATGGATTCTTAACTTTTACCTTTTACTTTAGTCAATGTTTTTACTAACCTACATCTCAAAATCATTTTTTTAAGTTTCATTTGTTCGTGTGTATCCGAGCAGTATGTTTATTGTCTATGTACAAAATAAATACGCAAAATTAAATTAACTATAAAACAATATAAAACATTTATCCTGTAACGCCCTTTAAAACATCCCTTAGGACATTTTAATTTTAACCTTTGAATGAAAATTGTGATTTAAGTTTGACTGATGTTTTCAGGAAGTTGAAAAAGGGGCTGCAGCTGGAGGCATTGGTAAGTATTTAAAATGAAGATTTCAATACTTCTAGTCAAACTCTATAGTACAAAAGAAACCATTTTTTCTGGGGATAACTTATATACTACCATTGACTATACTCACCACCTAGTCATTGCAGATTGATATTTGACGAAGTTACCTTTAATAACATATCTGTTGTAGTTGTTTTTCTAGGCCACTTAATGCAAATCAAAATAAAAAGGTTACAATACCTGCAGACTGCTTATAGTGGTCCTCAATCATCCAACAGCATTACGCGTTGCGGTATTACTGTACCATCTTCAGATCCTATTTCACAAAATTTCAAGTCTTTCTACACATTATGTCACGTCACGCTTTTTAAAAACACAGTCACCAAACATTAAATCACGGATAAACTATTTACAGTAGGCCTACGAATTGAAAACGAGAGACAAAAAACCAACGCATGTATTTCAAGTGTCGAGACTCGGCCAGCTCGATCGCGGTGACCATAGTACGTTCTATCATTTTCATTCTGTGGTCCAACCTAGTCCTGCAGACCTAACCACGGCCTAGTCAGTTAGATGTTTCGCTCGTGTCTTCTATGTAGTCTTTGCTTAATGGCATCATTTCGAAAGGTCAGATTGTGTTAAATTTCAGTATTAGCATGGAATCTCTTGATGTAGCTAAAGCCTGCATTTAAAATTAACGCCTTAGGGATTTTTCTGAAAACAAATTACAATAAAGCAAAGTTTACCCATGTTATCGTTAGGATGTTGCAAACAACTCCTTCGAAAATATAGATTACTGTACAATATTCTTATTTACGATCATTTCAAATATTATTTTATTCTGATAGTTTGGTTTTTGTTTTATAGTAAACTTAGGACCAACGGGGAGCGTAAATATGATGCATTTCAACAAAGATGTTGCTCCTACCAGCCAACCCGAAAAAAAAGTTTTTGTGTTTGATACTAAAACCTTAAAAAATAAATCATTCAAGCTCATCTGCGAAGAATACACTCTCAACAATGAATTGCCGATGACAAAAAGAACGACCATGGCAACAGGATGGATCGTGTATGAGGTTGATGAAAATGTAGTTCTGGATAAGTTCCTTCTAGACTCTTGCGAGTCTGGAACTCAGGGAATAAACATAAACCTTGGATATGAAGGACCCAATAGGTATTTTAGAATTGTTTATAAAAGAACAGACGGAAAGTGTTTCGAAAAAGATATCATTCAAGAAAAATTTATGCGTTTGCACTACTACGATGAGGTTATGATTGAACGACATGGTCCTTATCCAGTCAGGTGTCCAAGGGCTTGGACCGGTGACGTAGGCTTAAACATTGGCGTAGCTTGGTGGAAATTACCATTCCACAAACCACTGCCGTACATGACGCCACAATCCAACGTCCAAGAATGAATCCAAGGTTTCGAGGTGAAATAAACCATTTTTAATGATTCAGCAGTAAATTAATTTCCTGACCTTTCCTTGTAATATATTTCAAGTGCAGTTTATAATTAATGCAAGCATTTAAGGGTTACTGTATGCTTGGTTAGCCATTTATTTCAAACAGGTTTTCCCGTGAAAATAATTATAGCAACATTTAAAAGGTTTAATCCAAGTGCATGTATACTTTCGCAAAAAAATAACAAAACGTTTTCGATAGAAAGAATTTCTTTAACTTACAACATCTATGGGCATCTGGTCAAACAAAAATTACCGGATACCCAAGGATAATTTATGGCAAATAAATACTTGATATCAATATAAATAAATATCCAGAAGTAGAACAATGATTCTGAATAAGTTATCGCAGGTTATCCATACTCTGGATGGAAAAAAATCCCGAGGCGGTTAAATAATTCAAAAAGTAATAAATATAGAGTTTAAAAATTTGGTCCACAGTTACTGGGCATTAGAATAATTTTAACACATTATTCAGTGATGCACTACTTCTTCAGGGGGACGGCCCGCTAGGAGAAAAATATTAATACCCCGGCCGCAGCAAACCTGCAGATAAGCGAATTTCCATTTACCTGGCTGGATTTCTGCTAAAATATGCCCTGAAAATTGTCAGATTTATTTCATATATAAAAAAACATTAATTTTAATAAGTAGCCTACCTAGGTATGCTGCTACAGGGAAGGTGTTGAGGTGTGTTTTTATTTCAAATGTATGAAAGCTTACTATGAAATAAACAAAATTGCCAAATTTGATTAAAATATATCCATAAACAAGCAAACTACAACAGTTTAATTAATCTCCATCAAAATAACATGATAATTTTAAATTTAAAGTTTTTTTAATTATCTCCGTAACCGTTAGGCATACAACCACGCTTCAACATACAAAATTATTTATTTTTTAAGCTCCACAAAATCGTCTGGAAATAAGTTGGGAAATTTTGTGTTTTTAGGGTAAAAAATGGAAAAAAAACCTATTTTTACCCCATAAACTCCCGTTCCCAAAGTCCAATCATGCTGGTTTGCGAACTCGTTCGAATAAACGTAGGTTTACACGTGTCTACTAAATTTCATCAAAATCGGATCATTTTTGCTCAAGTTATTCCCTTTATACGAAATTCGCTAAAAGAGGGCAAAGGTAAAAAAGAGGTTTATTTGAACACATCAAATTAGAGGTCTTTGTTAGTAGAATACGATGCCGAAAATTTGAGAACAAAATAAGAGATAAGTATAGAATGGCAGTCGTTCAAAGATTCCAAATGGTAGATTCAAGAAATATTTGAACTGCTGCCATTTTTGACTCGGTTGTCCGTTTGAGTTCAAGTTGCAGCATTGTATTCTAATATTAAAGGCCTTAAATGTTATGTGCATATCAACCTATGCTACATTTAAGATTTTCTTCTGACTCCTACCTAGCCGTACCCTGACGAGATAGTGTATCACTGAATAATGTGTTAAAATGGTTTCCAGTAATTTGGTACCAAGTTTTGAGCAACCATACTTGTTACTTTTTGCAGTATTTAACCATCGTGGGATTTTTCCACACCGAACTAATTTAATAAGGGGTTCATCTGTAACATTCCTGTTAAAATGTCTTGTTAGACATATTTTTACGATTGATGTGTCATTTTAAAGCTTATGATCTGGCAGAGGGACGAATGGTAACTGAAAACTTAACATAATCTTGAAAAGGTAAAAAGTAATTCATTGGATTTGTTGTGGTTTGGCAGCAGTTTTAACCCTGTTAAAATGTGCAATTTGCAAAGTAATAATACAGTCTCTTTTAGCCAAATAAACTTGGAGTATCAATCAAAATAACTGACACATCAAACACTAACTCAGTGTTAGTGTCTTGAAAAATATGCCGGACCTTGGCTCATGGCCAGCCACGTCCCTACCGTATTTATTTAGCCAATATAACTTATACCGTAGAGTAAATTACAGTATTGAGACGGCAGGGATCAGTAGTCTGTGATGACAGGCTGTTGAAGTTTTATTTGGGAGGGTGAGAAAAGAATCCTAAAACATTAAACTAAACTACTTTTCATACTAAGTTTTATGTTCTGATATTACACTTTCTCGTAACAATTTAATCAAAATCTATTATATAGCCTAGAAGTCGGGAAACTATTTCTATTTGGAAAATTTATATTTAATCGCAGAAAGATTTATATTTTAATACACAAAATGGGATACACCCAACACGGAGGGGTGCTTGTTGTATTCGGCTATCTACGACAATAGTATTATTTGTATTTCGTTCGCATCTACCAGTTAAAGTTCGTCGGCCTCCTTCCATTGTCTTATAGTCTCAATTATGTCGAACATTTGTTTGGTCATGTTTTGATTTTGTGCAAATAAAAACTGGTCTAAAACAGTGAAACATCAATCTTTTCAACTAATCTAATAAATCCTTATATAGACCAGGCCGTGGTTGGGGTTGAGTATGCAAAATTATTCGGACGCACTTTCTCTTTTGATTGTTGTTAAGGACACTTTGGACAGTAAGAAAAACGCATGTTGCCACGATCGGCGTTGGTCGAGTACCAATATGGCTGCCATCCAATATGGCGGACCACCTGACTTGACCTTGATCGAGAAAAATGCAAATAACTCCATCGTTTTTTGACTGATTTTGATAATTCTTTTATAGTTGAAAAGAAGAAGAAATTTGCTTTAAGAGTCTCCATTACACTTATAGTGATATCCCGTTTAAAAAGTGATAAATTAGATTTTAATAAAGATTTTACTTTTAAAACGGATTAAATATACATTGAGGTGATTATATTTGAGTTTTTACTGACGAAATATGTCTGAAATCAACCTTGTAGCTGCTTGGGTAACAAAAAGGTAATTATCCTTTATAATTTAATAACCAAAATCTAATAATTTGTAATTTAATAATCCTTATATTATTAATGTTATCAATTTACAACGAAACACAATTGGAGAAGGTACGTTTTTTAAAAAAGAGCAATACAAGAAAAACTTCATGTAACGATTGGGTAAACAGATTTTTTAGGGTAATTCGACCCTGCTGAGTACAAATCTGCGTGTTGCCAAGGCGAAATTTGAACCGGAAGTGCGGTATCCAAGATGGCGGCCAGACCCTGTTTGCCCCATTACTCTTTTGTTACTTGGCCTAAAATATTGGTTTAAACATCTGAATAGAGGTTTTCTCAGGTGCCAAACACATTGCAATACTCAAAATCTACTTACATCAACTTTTGAGAGCATATGTTCCAAGATGGCACCCAAGATGGTGTCCTAAGACTCTGTTTACGCATATCTCTCTTCTTAGTTGGCCTAAAATAATAGTTTTAACATCTACATAGGGGTTTTATCAGATTTCAAACACATTGCAATACTCCAAATTTACTTACATAAACTTTTAGGGGCATATGTTCCAAGATGACACCTAAGATGGCGTCCTAAAACTCTGTTTTCGCATATCTCTCTTATTAATTGGCCCAAAATAATAATTTAAACGTCTGCATAGGGGTTTTATTGGAATGCCGAACACATTTCAATACTCAAAACGTGATCACAACAACCATTGAGGTAATATTTTCCAAGATGGCACACAATATGGCCACCAAAAAACTCTGTATACGTATATCTGCCTTGTTTGTTTGTTTGAAATTATTATTTAATCGTCCATAAAGGCTTTTCTTCTGATGCCAAATGGATTGAAACACTCATTATATTATACTTCATACGATTGTGTAGGACCTAGGTTCTAACATCAGCTGCCAAAACTTCTGTCCATGGAAGAGAACAAGAAATATGAGAAAAAGGCCATCTAAGAGAAAATAAATTGTTAATTGCAATATTTAAAAGAAGGTATGAACAAAATGAATGAACCATTTAAAAGGGTCAAACATTGTCGAGAACGGTAGCACAGTTTGGTGCAAGTATTTCGATTCTTCTTGCGCGTTTACATTGTAGATATACACTTGGATAAACAATTACATCCTAGGATATCTGTGGAGGCTTTTGGGACTGACAAGGATCTCACAAGGATGGGATGTACTGGTGTCAGTGAAGCCCCCAGCTATATGACTCGGAGCCATCTTCAACGGTCGGACAAGATGAGCATTTTCCAACACGTTCAAATGGAACATTTTTAAAATTTTGAGTACAACAAATCATTTAGTTTGTAAAACCATTGAGGATAGTATCTGAACATCGTGTCTTTACCTAATGACATCTTAGGAATCACAGTACATTACCTTTTGGAGGCTAGGGTTACGGTTTTTTTTTCATGAGAACAATAAAGGTGTATAGCCTCATCCCTGCTGGATAAGTCTTTGCCCACCTGTTCAGGTGATAGATCTCCAGATACAACAACATCAAACATACCAAAATTATGATTTAAAACTTCTTGCGAGATGAAGAGGGCGAGACCAGCTTTGTTTTCCTCAGAGCTAAAAAATTTTTCCAATCATTTGGCAGTGGATATTTCCTCTGGATATTGTCCATCATAACTTTAAAGCGCTTGAAAAGCATCTTCTTTTTGGTGTTATAAAAAATCAGGAAGCCTTGCCTCCAACACGTAATGTACGGTGACTGCAACTCCTAAGATGTCGTTAGGACACGATCTTTAGTAGGGGCATACTATCATCAATGGTTTTACAAACTAAATGATTTGTTGTACTGAAAATTTTAAAAACGTTCCATTTGAACGTGTTGGAAAATGCTCATCTTGTCCGACCGGTGAAGATGGCTCCGAGTCATATAGCTGGGGGCTTCACTGACACCAGTACATCCCATCCTTGTGAGATCCTTGTCAGTCCCAAAAGCCTCCACAGATATCCTAGGATGTAATTGTTTATCCAAGTGTATATCTACAATGTAAACGCGCAAGAAGAATCGAAATACTTGCACCAAACTGTGCTACCGTTCTCGACAATGTTTGACCCTTTTAAATGGTTCATTCATTTTGTTCATACCTTCTTTTAAATATTGCAATTAACAATTTATTTTCTCTTAGA